AGCTGCCTGCTTCCCGCAGCCGCACTCATTACCGCACCCGGGGCCTCCCCTCCCCCGTACGGTTGTCAACTTGATTTCACCCCCGCGCTACCCACGGCTCCCAATGAAACGTGATTAAAACCACCATTTAATCACCGAGTGACCAGGCGGCCGGGCTCCGAGGCAGGGCTGCTTCCCGCGTCGTCGTCCGCGGGCTCCTCTCCCTCTCGGTCTGTTTGCAGAGCTGCCTTTTCATATAAAAATCCTGTCCTCCCCGGGCTGCCCCTGACAGGCCTCCAAAATAAACACACTCAGCGTGGCAGGGGGCCACGTGCATGCAATTTGCCCGGCGGTAAAACTCAGCCCGAACCAGAGCAGGGGGGGAGGCTGCATTTGAAAACCGTCCCCCGAAACACACACAGAGCCTCCTCCGGAACGTGGGGTCCCCTTCCCGGGGGCCTATGGAAGCTCCTTTCGAGCGCCCCTCGATTCAGTCCGGGATTAGAAACTCCTTCATAAAATCGTTTCCAGCGACGCCGTGACCAGCCAAGTCCCCTGGGCGGAGGGTGCAGGCAGCCGGGGTGCGAGGGCTGCCCGGAGGAAGGCACCCCGTCTTGCACTTGGGGGGTTCCCGGGACACCGTCCCCATCTCAGGATCCCCCTCGGGGATGAGGGCACTCCCGTGACAAAGCCGTGCCTTTGCCCTGGGCCACCTGCTGTCTGAGACCCTGGGAGTCAGGCGGTGGCCAGAGCAATGACCGGCAAGCACAGGAATAGCTCGGCCCCCCACCCTCCCTGCAGGGAACCAGACCCACACACTGGTCCGGCCTCTCCCCCTGCACCGCCCCAACTGCCCTCCTGTTCCTCTGCTTCTGCACAGCGGCCCACCCAGCTGTTCCCCGTCTCGGACCCTTCTCCCCGCTCCGTCCCCTCACCCAGGGGGTCCCTCCCTGGCTCCTACCACACCTTACTCACTTGCTGGTCTATTGTCTGTGCCCCCACTACAGGGTGAGTTCCTATTCCGGTGGCTACATACGCCCCCACCCCCACACCTGGCTGGGGGCGGGCAGAGAGGAGCCCTGGAAGGCAGGGACCTGTCTGTGGATGCCCAGGGCTCCCCCTTACTGAGCTACGTGATGGGGAGGAAGCGAGGGCTGTCTTCAGAGCACTCTCTCTAGAGAGCGGGGATGGTGAGTGGAGGGGGTCCCAGGGACCAGGCTTCCTGCCCCCCACCCTCCCCACCCCAGCAGCCCCCTCTGATGCCTCTTGCCCCTCCTTCTCCTCTGCACCTGAACCCCCAGGGAGAGCATCACGCTTACCGACAGCCACCGCTGAGGAGATGTGACTCACCTTTCGGCCTCACCACCGGCAGTGGCTCCAGCCCTGGCCGCCATCGCCTGGCCTGTCCACGGGACTTGGCGAAGGACCTGCACCTGGGCCCACCCCGGCCAAGGACGCAGGCCCACCCACCTGCGCACAGGAGGGCATCCTGGGACCTTCCTGGGTCCCTTCCCTCCTCCCGCTGACATTTTTACACAACATATTGGCACAAGCAGTCCAGGAAGACGGCGTGATAGCAATACACGTGTGTTGGGGTAAGCACTCGACATTTATTTCTCCTACAGGGGTGCAAGCAAGCAGGTGGGGGAGCAGTGGCGTGAGGGGAGGAGCAACGCAGGTTTACAATGCATGACGCCAGGGAGCCGCGGGGCACCTGGGGGCTCATGCCCCCCGCGGAGCCAGAAGACACCGGCTTGCTGCCACGCCTGGGCTGCCAGATCTTCCGGACCCTAAAGGACAGCACACGCTTTTATTTTATAGGAAATATCCCGAGTGTTCAAGTATCGGCCCTGGTGAATAGAACAGAGAACCAGCCCCGGGTGGGCAGGGAGGGGGGGCGTGTGGCTACATAAAACCCCTCTGTGCCAGGCCCTGCTCACCGACCCGGTCCCATGCGCCCTGCTAACCCCGAGGCAGGGCTTGGTGAGTGGAGGGGGTCCCAGGGACCAGGCTTCCTGCTCCCCTCACTGATGCGGACAGGGAGGCTCAAGGACGTCTGGGGTTCCCCCGAGGTCGGAGACACCCAGTCTCCGGAGAGGAGTCCCTGGCCACTTTGCCTGGCGTGACCTTTCCGTGGAGGTGAGCGCCCGGGAATGAACACACGCACTGAACCAGCGACGAGGCTCTGATGGCAGGGAGGCTGGGCCCGGTGCGCCTCTGATGGGCTAAGCCAGTGGTTCTCAACCTTGGCTGCACATAAAATCCTGATTTCTGGGCCTCCTCATAGTAACAAAGAAACAGAATTTTCGGAGGATGAGGCCCAGAAATCAGGATTGTAAAAAGATTGTAAAAAGAAATCAGGATTGTGATTCTCATGTGCAGCCAAGGTGAGAACCACTGGGCTAAGCGCTCCTCGCCTTCCGATCCTGCACACGGTTCTGAGAGAATCACAGGCCAGGGGGAGGGGTGAGCTCGTCTCACCATGTCTGGGGGTCACCAAAGGGCAGCAGACAGATCTCGGCATCACCAGACAAACCTGGTGCAAGGAGTGAGGACGGGAGGGGCACACGTCTCCACGGGGACGGCTCCCTGGTGCATAAAGGCTCTAATACTTTGAATGGGGTATTTAACGCCAGGTCACAAAGTGTTCCAAGACGTCTGTGGCGAAATAACTTCCCCCTAGGGGCGGGTGTCTTCCCTGTGCCCATTACACAGATGAGGAAACTGAGGCCCAGCAATGTGCCCCAGGTCACCAGGCTGGTGGAGGGAGTTGTGATCGGGGCCCAGGTTTCAACCTTGTCTCTCTGAGGCTCCAATGCCATCAACCCCACCTGTCATTATGTGCAAAGTGGGGGGGCCAGAGAAAAGATTGGAAAAGATAGGGCGCTGGCCAGGGCAGCAGTCGGCAGCCACATGTGGCCACTCACCACCTGCCACAGGGCTCCCACCCCCAAGGAACTGAATGTTTGGGTGCAACGAACTTCGGATTTAAATGTAAGGAGCCACGCGTGGCTGGCGGCTGCCACACTGGACCCCGCAGCCTCTGAGCGGTGCAGTGAGGAACGGGGAGGGGGTCCCTAAGCTCTGTGGTCCCCAGGCGGTGCTAGTCACTGCCCTTGCTGCTCTGTGGAGGCTGAGGAAGGAGGGAGGTTGGGACTTGACACAGGCTGGGCTCACCCTGGCCGCTCCCTTGGCCTTGGAGCTGGACGGCTCGCATTAAAAATCCAAGTGGGGACAATCGTGGGGGGTGGGGGGAGGTCCTGTTTAATATCAAATCGGGTGATCACACTGGGCCATTCCAAACACTGGACATCCCAGGGCCCCACTGCCCAGCCGTTTCTAGCTGGGACCTGGGTTCTACCATCTAAAGGCCGCGCCTACCCACACTGCCCGTGACGGGGATGGAGGAGAAGAGCCAAGAATGGCCTTTCCCTCCTCCCCTGACACATACACGCCTCCTAGGGTGTGGGCTCCAGGAGCAGGCCTCTGAGTTCCGAGACGACGTCCGTGAGGTCAAAGGGCAGGGGCATGGCGGGATCCTCCTTCTCCCAGTACGGCCGGCACTCTGGCTTCTGGTCGGCGGGTAAGGTGCGCGCGATCCGGGACTGGCACCTGGAAGAGGGAGAACAGGCAGTTCATCCGCGGGAGGAAGCGCCCGAGCAGGGACCCCCAAGGACCACAGGGGGCGACGCGGCCAAACGAGGCAGGAAGCAGGTGGCTATGCGAAGGGAGGGTCCTTCCTTATGGTGCTGGAACTTCCCTCCCCCCCCAATTCCCAGATTTCGATGACTCTCCAGCGGCTCCAGAGAAGCCAGTCGCCAGGGAAAAGCAGCTACTCTGCCTTTCAAGCTGGTGACTTGGTTCTCCACGGGCTCCGCTGTGATGGGACGTGTGTGATTAAGCCATTATCAGATCTGAATGTTTGTGGGATTTATGTGTTACC